CGCCACGTCCGTGCGGCGGCAGGAGGCAGCGCGGCGGGCCCATGTGGCGCACGCTGCTCCTCGCCTCCGCCTTCTTCCCGGGGCTCTTCGCGCTGTGCGTGCGCGCGCTGCGCTGGGCCGCGCCGGCATGGAGCCTCAAGGACCGGCTGCTGGTCAGCGGCAGGTAGGGGGGCGCCGCGGCAGCGGGGGGCGCGGGGGCGGCGGCAGCGCGGGCTCTGGGGATGGACGCACGGGGCATGGGAGCCGTGGCGGGCTGGAGCGGGGATACGGAGGTGTCCACAACCGGCACTCATGGATGTCCAAAGTGTGGGACCGGGATGGGTGTCTGGAGATGGGATCCCTGAGTGTCCAAAGCCCCAGATCCATCGGAGTCGAGAGGTGGGAGTTAGGGATGTCCAGAGCTCAGGACCCACGGGTGTCCAGACCTGGGACCCATGGGTTTCCAGAGCCCAGGATCTGCAACTATCCCAATCCCTAGGGGTTCCTAAGCCCAACRCCCCCAGTTGTGGGGCACCCAGACCCATGGCAGTGCTGGACCCACACCCAGATCCACGGTGCAGCCCACAGGGACGGCCGCGCTCCTGGTGACCCCCGGGGACCCCGTGTTGGCGCAGGCTGTGCCCATGCGCAGCAGCGACGCGTGGGGCCCATCTCCTCCCGCGCAGCAGCACCGGGCAGCGGGATGCTCCAGCACATCACTCCCCATTGGGAACCTCGGTGACTCACACCGTGTTGGTGGCTGAGGGATGCGCCACATGGTGACAAAGTCACCGTCGGCCGCATCAGCCCACGCGGAGCGCCCCAGAGCCGCTGGCCCCACGCGCCCCGCTCGCGCGGGCACCTCAGGAGGCTCCCGGGGCRTTCACGGAGTGGGCGGCTGAGTGCGAACAGCTCCCCTGGCGCAACCGGGCCCGCGCCCACGAYGCCGGCGCTGACCTGCTTCCGCTCCCGCTCCCAGGCTGGTGTCCATGGTGCAAGCCACGATGGCGACGGCAGCGGGAATCACGGTTATCCTCAACTGCAAGAACGTGGTGTATGACCGGTAAGCGCGCGCGCAGGGCGGCCGCCCCGCGGGCAGCCCAGCGCTGCACCTCCAAGGCTTGCCCATGCAYGGAGGAGGGAAGAACACTTCCACGTTCCTCTTTCCTCCGCTTTGGCTGGGATTAGATGGTCTCACACCATGGAAAACACGCCGCGATTCCCGCTGCCCGCATCCCGCGCTGCTCCGGTYGCAGGGAGCCCTGGGGCTTCCCCGCAGGGTTGSCAAATGGAGAYGGGGATAACAGCRCTTTGCGGCTCACAGGGAGTCTCCCCGCTTGAGTTTTCAGTTCCCAACAACCCACACGGACCTGGTGAGGGCCAATTTTGGAGGAATGTTGCCTTTTTCATCCCAAATAAGTTCTAAAGCAGCTCAGGAACAAGAGCGACCAGTAAGAGGTTCGCTCTGAAGTCAAAACCACTTCCCCTATTACTGAGCACATGGAAATAAAGTGCCCCAAAAGTCACTCTCAGCCCAGCGGCACAGAGTCGCCTAGGTCAGAAGAATTAAAAACACGCAGTAATAACTGCATGTTATAGAAGAGCAGGGAAAAAGGTAGGCGGGAAGAGCAGAGCTTTGCCGAGATGGAATTTGACCGCGACAGGAGAATTTAACTCCTCGAGGAGAGCGTTGGGGCAGAACCCGGCCCGGGCTCCCCGGAATGGGACAGCAGCAGGGAACAGCAGACGGGTTCCCTCGGTGGCACCCGGCCCGGATGCGAGTCCCTTATAGCGCCCTATGGAGCTGGCTCCCTGCTGCTTAGCGCGGGAAGCCGGGGAGGTTTGTTCCTCTCTGCTCTGCAGAGGGGCCTCAGGAACCCAGTTTTGCAGGGAGAGCAGCGGGCTCTCCCAACAGACCCGCGGCCCCTTGGGTCCTGCAGCAACGATGCCGGGCRCGAGGCCGGGAAGCATGACAAAGATTGCAGAAAAATCGGCCAATTAATTTACTTAGGCAGGGAATCATTATATTGCTGACACTCTAATTGCCCTCCGAAGCCCTGGGCAAGTTTTACAAACACAATAGCCGGTCACTTCCCCTCCCTGTTTTACATCACATCCACCTTTCTCTCTCAAATAGGAAGGCGTACAAAGAATATTTTCGTGAAGTGGCAGGAGAGCGGATGCATGTGGGCCCCGAGCTACATGTCTTAGAGCAGCAGGTTTTCCATCGGTCCCATTTCACGCCGTATTTTTTCAGGAGCCCGGTGCCCACGTTCCTGTTGCTTGGGTTGTGCAACCAGGATGCCGACATACTTTGGGAACAGGCAGCTGCGTGCAATTATTTCCCAACAGACAAACGTCTTGCAGGGGGTTAGAGCCTATATTAAAATCTTGGCCCTTCACCCTCCCAGATGCCAGCTGGGCCTCTACTGAAGGCCGCAGTCTCCACGTGCTTTTGCTCTATTGAAGGCCATGTCTCCGGGTGCTTTTCCATCACCAGCCAGGCTGTTGTCCCCCGCTGTCTGCAATGTGACGGAGGGGTCTCAGGCTCAAGSATCCACTGCTCCCAATAAATCCCTGGTGTCCCGGGCTTAGGGAAGCCATCACCCCTTGCAAAGGGGCAGGGAATGTGTGAGCCCGGGAGGCCGGCGGGACTAATCAAGATGGTCACGACCGGGCTGTGTTTGTGCGGGGCCGGCCCGGTGCCTGGCACGGCGGGGCTGGGCTGTGTTCCTGCCGGAGCCGGGCGCGTTCCCGCTGGAGCCGAGCACATTCCCGCCGGAGCCGGGCGCGTTCCCGCTGGAGCCGGGCGCGTTCCCGCTGGAGCTGGGCGCGTTCCTGTCGGAGCCGGGCACGTTCCTGCCGGAGCCGAGCGCATTCCTGCTGCAGCCGGGCGCGTTCCCGCTGGAGCTGGGTGCGTTCCCACTGGAGCTGGGTGCGTTCCTGTCGGAGCCGGGCGCGTTCCCGCYGGAACCCAGGCGTGTTCCCCCCAGAGTTGGGTGCATTCCCTCCAGAGCTGGGGCACATTCCCGCCAGAGTCAGGCACGTTCCCACCGCAGCCGGGGCACATTCCCGCCAGAGTCGGGTGTGTTCCCGCCAGAGTCCGGGCGCGTTCCCACCAGAGTTGGGCATATTCCTGTCGGATCCTGGGCTTTCCCTCTCCGTGGTCACCTCGGAGGAGCCGCCGCTCGGGCTGCCGGGGGCGGTGGGAGGTGGCGCCRCGTCGCCGCTCCGTGCCCCCCATCTCGGCGGCGCCTCCCCCGCAGGCACTGGCTGGCCGTGGAGTACGTGTGGGTGCTCGTGCCCTACATGACCTACGACATCTACGTCATGTACCTCTGCCACTGGCACAAGAGCCGCGAGCGGGGCGCCGCGGAGCGCAAGCACTCGCTGGCCAGCGTGCGCAGCTTCCTGCTGCAGGAGCGCCTCATGCTGACCCACCACCTCGTCATCCTGCTGGTGCTCACGCCCGTCACGCAGGTAGCCACCGGCCTCRCCACGAGCCGGCCCTCGGTTGGGGGGTGGCCACTGCCAGGGGGTTCCCTGCATGTGTATGGGGTGCGTGACAGGTGTCCCTGGGTGTCCTTGTCCCCATCCACACAGCCGCGCGCCCCGAGGCGGGACAGCAATCAGGCCACCAGGTCTAATCCATCCCTCYGAGCTCCCGGGACAGGAGGTTCCCCCGCTGCAGCAGAGCCAAGCGCTTCCCCCGGGACCCTCTCCCACCTTGGCTGTTCCCAGACCGACCTTGTGTGGGTCTCCACGCGGCCACCTCCCCTTCCCAGGGCCAACAGGCCCAGGTGCCGCTAACTTTGGGCGCCCAAGTCAGCGGGAGGCCGAACCCTTGGAGCGGGGGCTTGGTGGAAGCCGCCCTGCTCACCGCCCTGCTTCTTCGCAGCACTTCAGGGGCGAGCTGGGGGACTTCTTYGTGGGCTGCATCTTCACGGCGGAGCTGAGCACTCCTTTCGTCTCCCTGGGCAAAATCCTCATGCAGGTAGGCGAGGAGGGACGAGCAGGACGAGCCCGGGATGCCCCATGTGGGCACCTGGGAGCCCCGCAGGGGTTTGTGCCGCCTCCTTCGGCCCCGTTCCTGCAGCGGAGCATCCTCGGAAACGCTCCCCTTGCCGGGCTCTTCCCATGCCCTTGTCCTGCTGTCAGCACACAGGGTGCCGCAGCTGCACGGAGCGCCCCGCACGCTCACGGCGCCGCCTCCCTCTTCCCTCCCCAGCTCCAGATGCAGGACACGCTCCTGCACAAGGTGAACGGCATCCTCCTCCTGGTGACCTTCTTCCTCTGCCGCATCCTCCTCTTCCCCTTCATGTACGYGGCCTACGCCAGGCAGGTGGGCATCCCCGTCTACATGGTGCCCTTCCGCATCCCGCTGCACTGCAACGTGGCCAACGCCTCCCTCATCGCCCCGCAGCTCTACTGGTTCCGCCTCATCTGCCGCAAAGCCGCCCGCCTCTACAGCGGCTCCGGCGCCCGCCGCGGCCGGTAGCGCCGGGCAGGGGAGGCCGCTGCCGCCCGGGCACCGCGGGGCGCCCGGCTTGGGGGTGYCCGGGGCTGGGGGTGCCCGGCTGGGCCGGCCTCGCGCAGGACTTGCCTCACGTGTGGCCCCYGTGTCCCGCCGCTGCGTGTGGGACGTGCGGGGCCGGCGCGGAGCGGGTCTGTCCGCGCGTTCCCGCCGGGATTCAGCACAGCCGCACCGGACRGAGCGGCGCTCGGGCGAGGGGGCTGCAGCGCCGGGTGCCCCCGACCACGGCGCCCARCAGCCCCGACCTGCAGCCGCATCCGACGGCCCCCCTGCAGCCACCACCGCCCCCGCGCAGGGAAGGCTCCACTGCCAGCGGGGCTGGAGAAGTTCAGGGCAGCGGCAGGGAGCGGGTACTGCTCCCGGAGAGCGCTGCGGACAGGGCAGGGAGCCCAGCACCCGAAAGCAGGCTGAGCCCCCCTGTCCCACCAACACGTGGGGCGCCGCGGGAGCCCGTCGGGGCAGGACGTGCTGCTGTCACCCGCTGCTCTCGCTGCACCCGCCCCGCACGCCCTGGATGTGTTTGAAACGGTTCCACTCTCCCGCCAGCCCCACCAGCAGCACCTGGGCCCCAGTGCGGGATTAACCGCCCCGGTGCAGGATTAACCACTCAGGATTAACCACACGAGGGGGCTCGTGGGACCCACACAGCAGTTCCCTCCCGGGGGCGAGTTTCTCACCTGTATAAAAGCCAAGAACCGATGGCTGGAAGGTGCTTCGCTCGGGAAGAGCCCTTCCCCTTTCTGGTGACAGATCCCGCTCCAGGATAGGGTGAGACCCTGCTCGCCGCCTCCCACCGATSCTGCCTCTCGCCGCTTCCCTTACCACCAACGTGCCTTATGTACAGGAGAGACCACAGAAAGGCCCCCGAGGCCTTTCTGTCCACACTAACGCTGCCCTGTTCACGACCGTGCCTGGCACCAGAGACCAATAAAGACGTTGCTGCAGAGCCGCCCCGCGCGCCGCCTCTCCCGCGCGCCGCCACGCTCCGGGATGTGCCGGCGGCCGCAGCTTTGCTCCAGAGGCCCCTTGTTCCCCCTTGTTCCCCGGGCTGCCAGCTCCTCTCGTGCGGATGCCACGTGGTGACCGGAGGGAGGTGACACAGCGGGTGGCAGGGGTGCAGGTCCGCGAGAGCCACGTCCACGGGGAGTCCCTGTGGGAAAGCGGAGTGGCCACGTGGGGAGGAAACACTGCAAAGGTGGGAAATAAATGCAAAAGAGGGGGAAAAACAAAAAAAAAGATAGGGTTTATTGTTATGGGCTAGGCGCCCAGCTGGCCGAGCTTGYGCAGGAGGGCGCCGCGCAGCTCCTTGTCGGCCACGTTGTCCGTGACGCACTCGAGGAAGTGCCGCTCGTTGGCTCGGCGCAGCGCGCGGCTGGGGCCGGCGTCGGCGCCGCTGGCTGCCTCGTACTGCGCGAGCGCGGCCAGGGCGAGCGCGGCGAGCGGCGCGGGGCAGCCGCCCGCCGGCACCATGGCGGCCACGTGCAGCACGTGGCAGAAGAGCTGCACGCACACGAAGGCCAGCTCCTGCGCGCCGCTCGCGTCCTCGTCGCGCCGCGCCGGGAGGCTCCGGAGCGAGGCGAGCAGCTCGGCGACGCTGCCGCTGTAGAGCTGGGCCACGTGGAGCCAGGCGTCGGCGGGCAGCCACGCGGAGCAGCTGGAGCTGCACAGGAGCTGGAAGCCCCGCAGGAAGAGCACGGAGAGCTGCAGGCAGTGGGCGAAGGGGCGCAGGTCGAGCAGGGGCAGGTGCTGCACGTACTCCAGCGTGTAGGGCACGTGCAGCACCTGCCTCTGCAGCAGGCTCCGCGCCACGTGCACCAGCCTCTTCCACTCGCCGGGGCTGCACCAGGGCAGCACCTGGACGAGCGCCACCAGGAAGCCCTTGCTGAAGAGGTTCACCTCCTCGGGGTTGTCCACGTCGACGGCGAGCAGCGCCAGCATGGTGCTGCCGAGCTCCGAGGAGAGGCAGCAGCACTCGAGCCACGCGAGCAGCCCGCTGCCCGGCCCGTAGGCCGGCGATGCCCGCGGCGCCCACACGTCCTCGGGCAGCCTGCACACCTCAAACAGCGTCGCCGGGACCTCGTTCTTGAAGTGCTCCCCAAAAAGCTGCTTCAGGCGGACGCCGACGGTCCAGTCCAGGGATGCCACCTTCCTGTGGAGCCAAGCGAGCGACTGGACCCACACGTCAGGGGATGGGGCGACCTCCGGCCTGAGCACCTCGCAGAGCTGGGCGAGGGCGTCTGCCACCAGGTCTTTGGTGTCCAGCGAGGGGGAGCGCTGCTCCCCGGGCACGTGCCAGTACCTCGTGTAGCCGTCCAGGAGCTTGCAGAGGCTGAGGACGAGCGGGAACGGGTAGCAGGACCTGATCCAGTGCTCTTCTGCAGGGGACTGCATCGCCAGGACCTTACTGAGGATCCGAAGGCTCAGCTCAATCTGGGCGCAGTCCGACCTCAGGCAGGGAAGGATAAAGGTTCTGGTCACCTCTGCGGGGGACACCAGCGGGGCTGCTGAGCTTGGCTGCATGAGGAAGGCCAAGAACTCAAGAAACTGCTCCTCYTCCCGCTCAGTGGAGAGCTTCCCCCATACAGCCTCGTGCAGGCACCTGAGCACCAGGCTACGCGGCCGGCCCGGATCGTCGTGCGTCTCCAGGAAGCCCAGCGCCGGGAAGGAGCAGAGGATCTGGGCCAGGAACTGGTGCGTTCCCAGGTTGACCACGGCGAGGTTACAAACCTTCTTCACGGTGGCCTCGGGGTACAGCAGAGTGAGCTTGGCCACCGAGGCCACGGCCTTGGACAGGCCTTGATCGGAAACGCTCTGTGTGATCTGGTTGAACGTCACGTTCAGGTCCTCCTGGAAGCCCTCCATGACCACTTGCAAGCTGAGGGACAGACCTGGACCGCCCCAGGAAGCCAGCACACCAGAGAGCACCTTGTTCTTGTCGGTCAACGAGAGCTCGGTGTAACACTCCAGGACGGTTTTGGTCACCTGCTTCTGCAGCTCTCGGTCCTCTCGGTCTTGGGAGGACGCCGTGCAGTTCACCAAGGTCTCCAGCAACTTCAGAACGAGCTCCGGCTTCTGGAAGAGAACTTTGTTTTTCACAAGGCAGTCAAGCCAGTCCTGCGAAGAGGCCCACGTGTGTTGGGAGGCGAAAACGGAGCACATCTCCATGTGCCTGTCCAGCTTCCGCTCGATGATCATCATGGCCACCGAAGAGAYGAGGCTGGCATCCGAATCGCGGCTCTTCAGGCCGGCGCTGATGTTGTCCAGAAAGCGCTCRATGACCTGCGCCAGCTCCGACACCACGAGCTTCTCGTCCTCGCTCAGGTCGCTCGAGTCCACGAGGCCGGCCAGGCTCTTGCGCAGGGCACTGAGTGCCTCGAGGAGCCGGTAGCTCTGGTAGSAGAGCTGCTCGGAGCCGTTCAGGGCGCCCTGCAGCTCCTCTCCCCACGCGCGCAGCAGGTCGCGGAGCAGGCGCAAGCCGGCGAAGAGCTCCTCGTCRCCGAGCCGGGCCACGGACGCGAGGCTCACGCTCCTCTCCGCTTCCCTCACCTTCTCGTCCAGGCCTCGCTGGTGGTAGCGGCTCCCGGCGTCGCTGCTCCAGAGGCTGACCACGGAGCAGACCTTGTGCAGGTACTCGGCCACGGGCAGGGCGGCGCCGGGCGGCTCCGGCCCCGCGGGCGCGCGCAGCAGCTCGGCCAGGTTGGCCAGGGCGTAGCAGCGGGCGCGGGGCAGCACGATGCTCCGCTGCGTGCGCTCCAGCCCCTCCACGAGCACCATGGGCAGGCTGGGCGCCGCCGCGGCGCTCTTGAACCGCTTGGGCGGCTGCTGCCCGTCGTGCGGGCCGGGCCGGGCGCCGTGCTGGCGGATGAGGGCGCCGAAGGCGGCGGCCGTGGCGTCCTCCGGCTGCTCCTCGTGCTTCAGCACCTCCCACCACACGTCCAGCAGGAAGCCGACGTCGGCGGGCGACGTCTCGCTGGCCACGTAGTCCACGAGGCGCCGCAGCTCGCCGCGGCGCAGCTCGCGCGGCAGCGCCCGCAGCAGCCGCACGAAGAGCGCCGGCGCGTCCAGCGCCTTGGCCAGCTCGAAGAGCACCGTGTGGTTCACGTCGGGGATCATGCGGCCCGCCGAGAAGAAGGCGTCCTCGCGCCAGCCGCGCTCCAGCGAGGCGGGCAGCGGGCCGGGCAGCAGCACCTTGGCCCACACCAGCGCCACGGCCTGCTGCTTCCAGAGGCCGGGCCGCGGCGCGGGGCGGCGGGCGCCGATCTCGCGCAGCGCGTCGGCGATGGGCGGCCCCACGAGGGGCCAGTCGGCCTTGCGCAGCTCGCGCAGCGGCCGCGGCTGCAGCAGCTTGGCGGCCAGCAGGAAGCCGCCGTGCAGGATCGCCATCTCCTCGCACACGCCCCACGGCCCTGCCGCACAAACACCGCGCGCGGGCGGTTAGCGGGGGCGCGGGGCGAAACGGACCGACCCGGACCGAACCACCCCGACCCGGACCGCACCGGACCGGACCGACCCGGCCCGCCCGCCGCCCGGCACCCACCTGCCTCCATGGCGGCCCGCGCAGCCCGCGCGCCGCCGCGCTCTGTGACGACAGCGCGGCCGCCCCGCGCGCCGCC